TAATTATATCGATGAAATGTGGAAGCGGATTATAATAGTACTACTAAATTAAAATAAAAAACTATTTTAAATGGACTTACCTTTTAATTTGTATTACCAAAGTGCAAACCCTGCTTAAATTTGTATTGGGTATTTTTGCATTTCTACTTGTTTTTTGTAGAAGCAATCCGGCATGATTTGGTCCGCAAGCGGAAAGCACTTGATAAATTGTTTACTTTAAAAATAGTTATTCCAAGCATTGTTTTCTTGGCCGACGGAAGTTGCTGCCATTGTCCGCCAGGGGGCGCAGTGCTAGCCATGTTAGCCGAACTCCTTTGTGGTGCATAAATCAAGTCTGCAGCGCCGTTCGCAGTACTTTCAACACTTTTGTGGCCCTCGCCGGACGGCTCACTCTTATTGCCCACCCATTTTTTTGTACGCCCTCCGATCGTGGCAATAAAATTGCATTTAATTACACGAATGCCGTGGCTTAAGTGGGCAAAGGGAGGGTTGCACGGAGGGGATGAGCGATGTGGGATGTCGAGTGGGGTTGGCCATTGGGAAATTGCCCTTGGTTTGGAGCCCGGCCAGCTCTTCATTGTTGCGCACATTTTTGAGCTCATTAAACCGGCTGCAATTGTTGCCATGCGTTGCGTGAGTGCTGCAGTTTCTGCCCTTTTGTTGGTCGGCAATCAATTTGCAGTCAGCAGTCTGCAGTTTGCGAAAGTTGCAGAAATGCAAAAATGAAATTATATTTGTGGAGCCCCGGCACATCATTAAAATGCATCGACCTGCGAACAAACGAGAGGAACACCTCTTGGCTTCAAGCTTTTCTTTCATTTGTGCAAAATTTCAGAAATCTTTCAGCACTTCCGGGGGAAAATGCTCAAGTCGGAGTCCATAATGTTTATAATCAGGCTACGGCATTCATGAGTTTTCTTCCATTCTGCAAAACAAACTCTGAGCAATCAAAACAAAGAGTCATCGGAAATTCTACGTTACGAGCTTATTGAAGAAGAATACAATTTTCATTTCAAAATTACACTGTAATCTTTAAATACTTTTTTTAGAGTACTGAACTGTTATCTGGAATAAAATGATTAGTTTTCAGTGAAAAATCACTAACAGTAAGCCTAAATCTTTATACATTTTCTTTTACTAAGTCAAGCTACTTTTAAGTACTGGTTTTAATAACTACAGAGTTTGGTTATTAAAATGTATTTCTACCGTGTACATAATTTTCTTACAATTCAGTAACTAATGTCAGGTAATAAAAGTGAAGTTCTTGCCATTTTTAGCCAGAGCTCTGGTTTTAACTGAACTTCTTCTTGAAATACCACATCTTTAGTTTCGCAGAGACTTTTAAATCCTTTTCCCACTCCTATTGTCAACTTTGGACCATGTTCTGTTTGTTTGATTGACTTTCGCATGCAATTTCCATGTTTTCCCTTAACGCTTCAATGATTGCCAACAATGGCGGGAGAAGTGCAGTCCGGAGTTCTGCCAAGATGGCGTGTGGCAGGGCCATAAAACAGTTAACACTGCTAGAAGTGCTCTGCCTATGGAGCTTATAGGAACAGCAAGGCACTCACACACAGAGACCTTTGTTTGGGAATGCGCTAAATGAATGCAATAAACCAACTATAAGGGTCCCCAGTCATTGTTTTATGGCCACGCTTCGTTGAACTCTAGGGGAAGCTTCAACGCTCCGTCCCGTTCTGGCCAACTGTCTCCCTCTTAAGCCGTCTCTTTCCCACTTACGGGTCTCCAATCGCCGGCAAATGGCAACAATCAACGTCTGAGAATTGCAACTGCAACAGCAACAGCAACTTCGACTTCTGCTTCAGCTTCAGCTCGGACTTCAACGTGTCCGATTTTGTTGCTCTCGAGGAGCGGGAGCAATCAACGCATTGTCGGCAGGTGGAAAACTTCATGGCCAATGAATTGCTGTTTCCACGTTTTAACCCTTTTATATACCCTTTCGAGGGTACTAAGACTTGGGTCAAAGGTGTGTCGCCTATTGTATTTTTTCATATTTTTTATATAGAACCGTATCTTATCTTTTTCTTTAACTGGATTGACTTTATTTACAGTTAAATGTACATTAATACCAGTAATTAAAACTATTTTTCTTAGAGCACTAAAATAAGTTTTACTCAACGATACTTGGAATTTATAACTATATATATATTATTTTAGAAAAACAATGTTTTTAATTGAGCTTACTACCAAGCTTTTTAATTCTTTATTAAATTTAAGGGTATGAGGACATCTGCTGGCCAAAAAATTGTGACTTTCTCGTTTTATTCCATTGCTCTTGTATTTTGCATGGCCTGAAGCTGATTTTGCTGCTGCCGCAGACTGACAGCAACAGTTTCGTTTCGTATCGTTTTTTTCCGTGTGTTGACGTGGCCAGTAATTTGTGTTGTTGCTGTTTGTTGGTTGGCTGAAGGGAAACGCCAGCAGCAGCAACAACAATGGCCACAAACACACATGCAATTTTGTGCATTAAAATTTCACACTTCGTTCGCCAGTTTGGTTGTTTGTTTGTTTGTTGGCTTGGTTCGGTTGGGTTGGTCGAATGCTTTTTGGCTTTTCGGGTTTTACCAGGGTCCCTTAACTTTTTTTGTTTATGGCGGGTAGAGCTCATTTTGGCTTGCTGCATTTACTCTTAAATTTGGCATGCATTTTGCTGCCGCCCTGCTCCTTTTCCTGCAATTCTGCTGATGTCGCCTGCCACAAGCAGCTGACAAAAAAATGGCGATAGTGTCCTCCAACCCCTTAGCCTTGTTTGTTGCACCTGGCTGAAACCGAGGACGTCATCATCATCGTCATCGTCTGCTGTTAACAGCCACGTTTTCGGCCCTCGTGGGCGTGGTCTTGGAAGTCCGGCAAAAAACGGGTAAAAGAGTCAAAGGGCACATTTAATTTGTCACAAATTCAATTATGGCAACTCAGCTGCAGGCAATCCAGATGTCGGCGAGTACTGGCTAAGAGGAATCAGATAGATTTCAATTATGCAGGTAAGCAAACGAAAAGTATGATAATTTAATAAAAAAGAGTGAAGCAAAGTTGTTTTCAATTAACTTTTCATAAATTCCGCGTATAATATGCGTATAAAAATATTTTTAAACTTTTAAAAAGAAAATCATTAAAATCTATTTAGAAAACATTTGCAGGACTATATTATAGCCCACAAAGAAAACACTCCAAATCAATTGGAAACCTTGAGAGGTTACATTATTGCATTTTTTCTTTATTCACTGTATTATTGCATACAGATTGACTACGAATTAAACCAAATAGACCATGAAGTAAAGGGAATACTGTAAAGTTCTTTATAATTTGCTAAGTTGCCGACTGCGATGGAAATTCCTATGAGCTCTTCTCAATTGATAAGCCATTTTCTGATAAGTATTTATAAAAACGCTCGATCCGCACCGATCTCAGTGCGTTTCAATTTATTGACTGGCGATGAAATCAGCCGCTGTCGCTGTGATCATTCTTAGCCTGATTCATTGTAATCCGGGATTTGCGACACTTCTGGAGCCGAATTGCGGAATTCGAGCTGAAAGTCCCAGCTACCGAACAAGAATTATCGGAGGCAGGGATGCACAGATCGCTTCTCATCCTTGGATGGCCTTCCTGCACTACGATTCCCGGATCCACTGCGGTGGAACGCTCATCAATCGCCGTTTGTTTTTCATTATTATAATACCTATATGACTGTTACTAATACCTTTCTTCGCAGAGTTCGTCCTGACAGCTGCCCATTGCCTTGATGGGGAATTAAGACTGTGAGTATCGCCAGGCGGAAAGTTAAAAAATAAAGCTAAACATATGCCTCATGCAGAAAGGTTCGACTAGGAGGTATAAGCCTTGCTTCAAGTGGCTATCCAACATGCCTACTACCAGCCGAGGACTACAATGTTGATTTGGGCATAAGGCATAAGTATTTCACCCGCGATGTCTTTCTAAACGATATCGCCTTGCTACGACTGGCCAAGTTTGTGGAGTACAATGGTACTTTTCATCCTAAATGATAATTTGATTAAAAATGATGATTATATTTATGCAATGTCCACTAACATTCTTTTAAATGTATTTTATAGTCCACATAAGGCCTATCTGTATTGTCCTGCATCCGGAAAGGAAACTCTTGTTGGATAATGTGATATCGCTGACGGCCACCGGCTGGGGAAAAACTGAAAACGGAGATGTGGCCACCGTTCTCCAGGAGGCCACCATCCAGGTAAAGAATCGGAGCCTCTGCAGCGAGCTGTACCAAGTGCCGGTGGGTCCAAACCAGATCTGTGCCGGCGACAGTGAGACCAACACCTGTGGTGGGGACTCTGGTGGACCGCTGGGCAGTGTGGTGAACTACTACGGGACGTTTCGGTTCGTCCAGTACGGACTAACCAGCTTCGGAGACAGGAAATGCCGCGCTCCGAGTGTTTATACAGATGTCATCACTTATGGAAACTGGATCAAGTTGGTGGTTAACAACTTTGGTACAGGGAGCATCTTTTAAATGTTTAACCATTTTCTTGTACTGATTTCAAATCAGAAAAAAATTATAAAATTACTGTCTAACCCAACACAACATTTTTGTTTTTATAAAATGTGTGTCACGTATCTTTTAATATGTTGTCTTATTTATCATGTTCGTAAATAATGTTATTAGACATAAGAAAAATGATTTTTACTCTAAGAAACTTTGTTGTTTCTAAATAAATTTTGTTTAAATTAGCTAAAAATCTTTACTGATTTAAAATATGTGAATAATGCAATCACTTGTATGACTTGACCTCGTTTAAAGAATTTCATGGAACTCTCATACATATAGGAAAAAGCTTTAATCAATTCGCTATAAGTTCAAGTGATTTCAATATAATTAATTCTTTATATGTAAGAAAAAAGATTAAAAATAATAGCCATTTCTCCGAATACATATGTTCCCCATCATTGAGCGCCTGATAAGCCCGCCTGGGGTGACTATTAGTCCATAGGAAGCGGAGTATCAGAAAGCAGTCGCAAAATGAATACCGTTCTGGTCGGGACAACTTGTCTGCTGCTCCCGCTTTTGGGATCCGCTCAATTTCTGGATCCGGCCTGCGGGATTAGAGCTCCCAGTCCACTTGCTCTACGGGTCAAGAACGGGACGGTCGCAGGGTTGACATCGAGTCCCTGGATGGTTTTCCTCATCTCAACTCAAAAAGAATTTATTTGTGGCGGAACTCTAATTACTAACCGTAAGTGTTTATAAACTATAATTGCTCGTAACCTATCAATTTGTTTTTGAAGGACTAGTTCTTACTGCAGCGCATTGCTTTCTTCCCAATATTGAGCTGTAAGTCACAATGCAAATAATTTAGAAAATCAGTAGAAAAACAAACCCATTCCTTTCCTTTTTACAGAGTAGCTCGCCTGGGGGAGTATGATAGGGAAGATTATGACCGGTGCCACGGCAGTTACTGCGTTTTTCGATCCGAGGTCAAAGTGCAGAGGGCCTTCAGGCACCGCTTGTACAACCCAGATACAATGGCCAACGATATAGCCATTCTACGGCTGATCAGGAAAGTCGAGTACACGGGTGGGTTGAAAATAAGTACCTTAAGTTTAAAACTATTTTAATTATAATTATTGATGGCAGACAGTATAAGACCCATCTGCATTGTGTGGGACACTACGTGGAGAAACAGAATCAACGCCATAGACCCGGTCACCGGCACTGGATGGGGAAAAACCGAGTCTGATGTGAGCAGTGGCATACTCATGACTGTGGACCTAGCTCGCCAACCTCCGGAGATCTGCCGTACTTATACCCACATATCACTCACAAACAAACAGTTTTGTGCCGGAAATTGGGATAGCAATTTATGCAACGGCGATTCTGGCGGTCCTGTGGGAGCACTGATCCCGTTCCAAAGTTCGTACCGCTTCATCCAAATCGGAATAGCCAGCGTCGCGAACAAACAGTGCTCGAAGGCAAGCGCTTTCACGGATGTCCTGAGCTACATCGATTGGATCCTTTTGGTGTATCGCAATTTTGCATAGACCAATTGTCAATGTTTCTTACAGCATCTACCACTAATATACTCCGCAGTTAAGCGTTTTCTATTTTAAAAAAAAATTTAAATTGCCGCATTAAAAGTTTCAGACCGTTTTTTTATTTTTGTATGAGCTTTGACTTTTAATAGTTAAGTGTTTTTACTATGTCGTCTATTCAGTAAATGTTTACTGAACCATTACCTTCGTATTACATGTTTTATTCTGCGGTCATACATATATATCATTTACAATTTACCCTCTGAGTATTTTAGCAATTTAAGCAAATCGTTGGCATTGTCATTATGCAAATGCTTGTAATGCAAATTTTCCTTCTTTTCAGCGAAAGAAAAATGTTTAAAAACTCGAGCCCGCAGTAAACACTTTTCACGATCAGTGGGCCATATAAAAGAAGTCCTCCCATCGGAAAGTCCGTGGGCTGAATGCATTACGCTAATTAATTCTTGATATATGGCGGAGTGGCTGTGGCCAAAACGAGGCCACAAACCTGCAACTGGCCGTAAAAAAAAGACGTTGGCAATAAAAGGAACCAAAGCGCAAAAACAGGGTGCAAAAAACTGTGAGTTAAAAAAGGAGTAAAGTCTACATTTACTCCAGTTTTTTGTAAATGTACTGCGACTGTTGCTCTAATGCTCTATGTAAATTCGCGAGGGCAATTAAAATTTAGCAGGCTTTAAATTCTGTCCCTCCAGCAGAAGCAGTGACAGATGCCGCGGCACAACTTTAATGACAAAAAGAAAAAATACGCCAAAAGCGGCAGGGGATGAGGAAATGGCAGGGGAAAGCAGCGAAAGTGAACAGTTGCCAGCGTCTGGGCGGTGTATCCTGCCAAGGATGCTGCATCTTCAGCCTGAACATTATTTTTTGCAAATCCACATGTGTCCCTATGCACTGGGCGTAAAAATGCTTTTCTGAAACTATGAAATGTAATTCAATAAATTTTCATTAAATATGTGAAATGGAAATTTTCAAATATACTTTTTGAGTTCGGATCCAGCAATTGTATTTAAACCTATAGTTATTAGATATTTTTAAGACTAAAATTAAATTTGTTCAAAATACGTATTTGAAGACAACGAGAATTTTTAAAATTACATATTTTTTAAAGCTTTAAGTGACTTAAGTTAATTTCGCAATTCATTCTCTTAAAGTGATTTTTCCAGTGCATTTATACACATGTGGCAACGCATCTCCGACAGGAAACCATTCGCAGCCAACGCCAAAATGTGGCAACAACGCCAGAGACAACAGAGGATGAAGGAAGCTTACTTCCTATTCCTACATGTATAGCCACACCCCCTTCTGGTACTCCTAGTACTCCCAGTACTCCGCTAACCAACTGCTAAACGCACTGAGAACTTTCCCACTCACATACTGTATGCCACATTCTGCTGAAGCGAAAGTGCGCGGAAGTAATAAAACATGCGGGAGGAGCGCGGGAGGCTGGAACTTTTGCGACGCTTGTTGCACTCGCTACTGCAATTGTCTGGAAAGTGTTGCGACATTGGGACAAGAGGGGTTGGGGCAAAAGGGGGTGGTACACTAGGGGTAACCGGTGGGTGGCAGCATTTGCGCTTAAGTGCCGCAATATTTGCAGAGCAGCGAATATTTTCCATGTTATTTATGTCTGCGGTTAGCCCAGCATATGGAGAAAGAATTACAACTACAAGTTTAAGAAAATACTGGTATTACAAAAAAAAAGGTCACCTACCTACCACCTTAAACTGTATCCTTATTCTTCTTATTTACGTGTAAAAAAATGTTGTTTTAAAATTTAGCTGGAACGGACATACAAATTTCAACCAAAGAGGTTTCTGTATCACCGTCAAATATTTCCTTTTAAAACTTGTTGAATATTTGTAATAAAACTATATTTTTAATCAACAAATTTTTCTTGAAAATAAAATGTGTTTCATCTTCTTAAAATTAAATAGCACAAATTTCGTTGTCCAAATAATTTACGCCAACTTAACTTGGCATCTTCCTGCCGATAATTGCCGAATGAGCCAACTGCTGCTATTCAGAATGATTTGTGTTGCCAAAAAAAACCTAAAAATGAAGTCATCGAAAGTGAAGTTAATGGCTGGCCGCAAGAGTCAGGATACACCTACTGGTGAGTCGAAGGAGGAGGATCTTGAACAACAGCTGCCACACAGGCACCCCGAACACCTCGATTCCGATGTCGATCCCGATCTTGATCTAATTTAGGCGTATTAGTTGCCCCGCAACAAAGGGCGAATTCAGACAAAGACAATACTTAGACGGACCTTTTGTGCCTCGTTGTTTTTCATTTCAAGGATCCTTGAGCACTTCGATAAGGCGCTGCTAATGGCTTCATTAGGTTGGGCAGGTTCAACTGAAGGTTCATCTTGAGGTTCTCATCTGTTTGCCACATGCCGGGAGGCAAAAACACTGCGATCTCTGGATCTCTATGAGGACTTTGAAGTAACCGCAGCCCAAGATCTTTCGCCTTGCGTCTGTTTAGATACAATTCAATGATTACAATTCGTTTCGTGAAATTGCTCAAGAGGCAGCAACTAATATTTTGGCATCACTTGAGGAGCAAATGAGAAAAAAAGAGAAAAGAAAGGAAAAGAGATTTCCTTTTAGAAGAAAAATTCCCATAAAAAACGTCGGACGATACAAATCAAATTGCCAACGCATAAAGTAACATGGTTGGAACGAAACATTTAATTTTAGGAATTTTTTATTACGCTTCTCGTTTTCCTTTGCTCCTTGAGCTGGGTGAAATGCACAGGAAATTCACACCTTTTGGCCACAACCAGGCGTAGGGCCTGATCTTTCCATTTTATGGGCACGGCATTCCAGTTTTATGAGCAGTTTTCATATGAAAAGAAATTAAAATTATATAACCACATATACCAAATACAAAAATACATTATCCAATAAAGATATGACCCAGCGGAGAAATCATTTAGGGAAAAATGCACAAATTGTGTTTTGGCTTTGAGTGAATCGAATTCCTCGACAAGTGTCATTAAAAATGTTCTCGTCCACACCGCACTATATATGCGAAGATATGATATTTAGAGCCGTATTTGTATGCAAAAGCAGTGTCCGGGGCCTCGTAAAGCATCGGCTGAAGTGCACATAAAAATTTTAATCGCTGGGAGTACTTACATGCATAAGAAATGTTTCTGTGTTTTTCTTTTGTTTGAAACCCTTCAAACAAATGAAATTTCCCACTCCATTTTTTGGTCATGTTACTTGATTAGACAGAGGAATCGTTAAAATTGTTCATGAACTTGAATCGTTAAATTGTGTATCGGAGCAGATATGCACAGCTATATCATTTCCTTCATAGAGTTATGATTGCTGCGTTATAAAAATGGAAATTGAAACTTGAGACGAAGTGAATGCACTTGTAAATAAATAAGGAAACAATTCAAATCGTTCCTAGCAGGAGCAGATGTGAGCAAACTAAAATAGCTGCGCTCTTAACGAATAACATAGGAGCTGCAATGATCAAGTTTTAGTAATAAATCTCAAGCAACATTTTGTAATTAAAAACTTAAAAAACCTTATAAAAAAAACAATTTTGCATATCAATCAACACTTTCAAGCACAAAGACTTTGAAGCTTCGAATCACATTGTTAACAAATGTTTTCCTACAAGTTCACACCAAATGTTCACACTTCAGAACAGAAGGCAGTGAATTCCTAGCAACAGAAAGGGATAAGGTGTTAGAAATCAAAGAACGTGGCGCCGCCTTTTAGAGTCAACAACCAACCGAGTGGCATGTGTTTGCCACATACATAATTTTCGTTGCGACTCCTTTTATGGCCTTTAATTGCATTTCGATGGCCAATAAAACGTTCAGATTCAGCCAAATTAACGACGGGAAGTGCCAACAAAGCATACAAAGGTAAAACATAATTAGCGTCTTTCGTTGCCCAATCTTCTGAAAAGTCGGAGCCTTTGAAGGCCGGTAGGCCAAGTGGCGCTTACAACGCCAGTTTATCGAGGAGAAAGAGAATTGTGGAATAAAGCCACAGCTGGGATTACAATTTCAACCATTTTTGCATTGCAAATCCCAGTCGATTAATTTGTAATTTCAATCTCTGCTGCGTTTGTGTAATGTGTAATGCGTAAAATGCAAAATTCAGTTTGGTGGAAAATTATAAAAATTATATTTCCACATTTTGAATTGCACTCGGTCTATGCCTAATTGAATATTTATCAAATGGTTATTCTGGGGCCCTGTTTATGCAAATAATCGTGCCAAATGAGCAGCGAATGCTCGGCATTAAATGAATAAATTGTTTATTTCGATTGGGGAATATCCGCCGCAAAGGGACTCGGCGCGTAGAAATGGTATGTAAACTCTCGATGACAATTTGAGGCTTATATTGATTGTTTGGATGCGTATCGCAAGTCCTATCCATTATCTCTCCCAGCTGCTGCACATGGATAAGCATCGCAATTAGCCTGCAAATGGTAATTGTTTTCCCGATAACTTACCTTACTTTCTAACCGGGTCCCCGTCCCCAACTCCCTCGATTACCGAGTGTCTGGATCTGCCTCATTAAAGTGCCAGTCCATAATGGTTACCATCTCTCTTGGCCTGCGCCTCCTTAAACGATTTTACATAAGTGTATGCCCCGACAATGCTCCAATGTTCGTTGGCTAAGTGTCTGGGTTTGGTTACCTCGGCCACTTGAAAGTAATTAAGAATCCTTTAACATATTTTCTTATCGCGTTAAATGGTCTGATGATAGAATGGCATGACAAACATGGTTGGAGCTCGCAAGGGATCGCCTTGGAGTTGGCAGTGTATACAGTCTCGTTGACTTTTGTAATTACAATTTGATATTTCCTGTATTTTAACATTATCTCATTACTTAATACTTAATTTTTGTACTTCGCTCTTCTTCGTTTTTCTAAGTTACAACTCCACAATGTTCCCAAACAACGGGCACCTGCCTGAATTATCGCAACCTCTTAACTGCTGTGTTTACCTTGACCAACCCACACGTTTTCCTCTCTACCAGGAATCCCTCTTACAAACAACGCCCCTTGTCGTGGATGGACGTTCAAGTGCTCAATTGTGCAAACTCCTTGA